GCCCAAAATAATAATGACGTAGGCGATTGTAGTATGTCCTCAAAACATTAAAAACAAAAGCTCATAACCACTGCATGGAGTCTATAGTTCTTGCTGTATAAGTTTGTTGCACGTTTTGATTGTTTTCCATGTGACTGTACTGTATGTTGTTTGAATTATATAAACATAAACTAAAAAAGAAGAAAGGATAATGTTGCTTATAACATTAAACCGACGAAAGAAAATAAGCATGAATATATATATATATATATATATATATATATATATATATATATATATAATAAATATTAATGAAATCAATGAAATTTGACAAAATATGTAAGGAATATTGAAATCCCTATTGCCGGCCATCCTTCATGATAAAAGCACAGTGACCGACACAATCAAATCAAATCAAACATCGTTTTCGTATATTGGTCAGTAGACGCTTCTTGAAACAAATTTCACAACATTCTCTCTTTAAATAGCTACCCACTCACGATCAAACATAGTCTAAATGTAAACACGTATTTTAATTGAGAAATTACAGTTATTTGAAAACTGGCCCATCGATAGGATCATGGTTACTGGATTCATACGATGTACACTGCAGATATATGTTACTGTCTTGCCTAATTTCACTCAATTTATGGATATTAAATCATTATAATTGATGATAATATGGCTGCTATCTATCGTCTAGCGTGTGTTGATACTGGGAGTTGTGTTAAACCGGAAGTGGCACTGCTTCAATCGAAGCGCCCAGTTTATATGATTTCGGTTTCGTTTTCTGGGGAGGGGGGAGTGCCGAGATTCAATTGTTAATGTCTGGTTGTGGTCGAAAGTGTGCTTTTTAGGGAAATGATATTACACATTTTACTTTCATGAGCTTTCATTTGACGAGCAATGTCTATTTTAATCAATGTCTACTTTATGATTTAGAAGAGAAACCAGTGAAGTAGTGATTAAATGAACACTAGCCTCTTACATGAGAATGGCATACATTGTACAAGAAAACCACAAACAGTTTAAAGTGTGATTGATTTAATAATAGACTTGTTCAATCGATAAATATCGGGTTGTTATTGACATAGACATATATACACGTACATGTATTGTGCAAACATCTAAAGGTTCATATATCGGTATAAAAAGGAAGTTAGCAAATGCGCTAAACGTGTACACCAAAAAGAAAACCTACTTAAAATAGATGTGGGAGAAAATAAACAGATTATCACAAATTTTGTACGCAATCTAATAATCTAAGCATAATATTAACCTTTTCGTTTTACATTGAAATCATTGAATCTTTTTTTTTTTTTTTTGTTCGGCGCATTCGCACTCCAATATACAGTGCGTCCAAGAAAAAACGAAACCGAGAATTATCGATGTTTTATCAAAACTTAGTCCCATTTATAATTAATAAATGACACATATTTGGAAAGCTGAGATCCTCACGCACGAGTGTTTCAAATGTACTCGTTCTAATTACTTAGCTCATACAAATCCGTTATTTTATAGATTAAACATTTTAAAAGTGAGTGATTTGCACTTATATCAAACAGCAATCTGTATGTTTAAATACACACAAAATTCACTTCCTCTTTTTCATGACGTATTTATTCCTAATTCCCATGTTCACTCATATCCAACGCGTAATTGTACTGATTTTCATTTACACAATCCTAAAACTTTGTTAGCGCTTAAGTCCATAAGATATCACGGTCCAGACATTTGGAATGCACTCCCTAGACATATTAAACAGTGTACATCTCTCTATTCATTTAAAGCTACACTAAAAAAACACATTATTTCACAATATAATGTATAAAGGTTTAAAAAAAAAAAAAAAAAAAAAAAAAAAAAAAAAATTTAAAGCGTTTTTTCTAAAACTTTAGAAACTACATTAAATTTTGGTCTGCGTTACATAGTAATACTGATGATTCAACATTTTGGCGCTTGAGGACACTTGCACTTGCACACACACGCACCACTTGCACCCTTGTTTTTGTTTAGTTTCTCTCTTATCTCTGTCATTAACGTATAATATTAGTAGCCATATAAATATGAGATTCATATGCTAATTCTATAATTATTTATATTGAATACAACTGTCTATATTCACATTTAATTGTAATATATATCATTTGAGTATCATGGCCCCCTCTTCTTGTTAATTTGCCAATATTTCACATCTCATTTTTATTTTAGCTCGGTTGACCGTCTACTCAAGCTTTTGCTTATAACGGCGACCTTCTGCTTTCTTTCTTTATACACGCAATGGCCCAACGTATAAGTTTACTCTTACTCATGTATTATACATTTGTTTCTATATTTTGTATATTGTTTGCATACCTTATGTTTTATATAATTATCCATATTTGTTGTATAACTGATTTGTTTGATTGCAGAAAATAAAGTCTTTGAAATGAAAAATGAAAAAATGTATTTAAATAGAGGAAACCAAAATGTCATTTGGCGGACGGTATCTGAATTTCAAGAGAAAATCGGATTTCCAGAAAGTTGAGTTTCTTCCCTTTCATATGACACCTCAATCAGGAAACAATGAGCTAGGAATAACAAAGTCATGTTTGTTTAAAGTAGTGCTTGCATTTCCATAATGTTATTAAACGAATTCGTTTTCACTGGTTGCCATCCGTAGCAACAAAAGACTTAACAAAAGACAGAACTCCGTTTCGTTGACAATCAGCCGTAGACGAAATTATCATTATTAATTACATCAAAATAACTATTTTGTGTTAGAAAAGAAGTTTCATATGAATGATCAGTTTCAAGATTCAAAAAGTGGAGTCTGACAATTTTGTAGATCCCTGTATGTATCCAGATTTGATATTCATGAATGCGTAATTTGCGTATTCATAATTTATGTAAATTAACCTATGCAATTTCAAATTTCATAAAAATAATGAAACCTAATGAATTTGAGATGAAGGAAACATTTATTCAATACAATTTCTAGATTCTTCACAAGTCTACAGAAAAATATGTAGAGTTTTCTGTAAAATGCATAATATTTGCATTTTGCATACTAATCAATTAGGCTATAACGACAACATGTGCATATTAGGACAAAACTAATTATACCATCTTGTTCCTTACGTAAATATCTACAAACATGCACATTTCCGTGTTCATCGGACATTCGATGGCCGAGATCATAGAGGAGGGTGGGGGCCTCCCCCCCCCCCCCCCCCCCCCGTCAGTGAGGTGCTCAAAATAGCCCAGTACACTAAAGGTTAAACCACATTCACCAAGCGGTATGAAGAAGAAAGATTTAATAATTAAAAAAAAGGCTAAATTCCTTATAAAACATCAGTTACTTTTATCAACGTTCATTCAAGTTCCCGCAAATTTGTATCGCTTTTTACTCCCAGGTTTCAACTCCAAACCTTAATTCATTCAATTTTGTTGTGTTAGCAAATTTCCTTTAAAGGTAATGCAAAGTTTGGGCAATTCTGAAAATTGGATTGATAGTAATTCTTTACAATTTTGATACATTGGGATGCCCCTGTGGAATTATTACAAGCACTAGCAAAACCCCTAAAACACTTCTACTTTCGAGAAATTAAATAATCATAAATTTACCGGTGCTCCCGGTAAATTTCAAATATTTCAAATAGCGCCGGAGGCCACTCCATGGTACCTGCGATCATGAAAATCTCGGAATGTGCAGTTCAAGCTGAGATATAATTTCCAAATGGTAAAAGCAGAAAGGTTGATCATAGTCAAGAAACATTGTTTTAGAGTTTAAGTGATATCAGTCTTGAGACAATTTCATCACTTTAGACTCGATTTCAAACGCGACAACGATCATTGAATATTGTAAAGTCGCATATGCTTCTAATATGTTCGTTTGAACCAAATCCATGACCCCATTCCAAAACTTTGTAATAGCTAAGGACGGGTATCATTTAAAGCCGAAAGGAATAATCATCATTCACTTTCCCGGAGTGTGACTGCATGAGAGAGTGGCCTTTCGCCGTATTTCATTTACATATTCGCCAATAAACAACCACTCTCGAATTCCGATTATTCAATGTAGAACATGAAGTTTTGGATGTGTCATGGTATTATTCACTTGACTTTCAGTCCAAGGGTGTGGGTTCGAATCCCAGGCCGCAACACCCACGTCCAGAAATAGACTAACCTACCACCAGCTACTGCTTAAAGGGGGTGTAGCATGACGAGACTACGTGTCTTTCCCGTGGCCTGACTAGGAGCCAATCGGGTGTAATGCGACTACGGACGACGCGAACGCATTATTCAAGTGCGTGCACCATAAGCGAAACCAAAGCGTGATGAGAACTTCAGTCTGTTTCGCGAACGCTAGCACGCGCAGACCGTTAATCAAGTCCATTCGTTTATGTGCAGTTGTCCAAAAGAAGTCGTAGTTGGCGTTTACCACTATTTGCCATGCTACACCCCTTTTACCTATCTACCTGCTTCGGTAGAACAATGGCTGCGACAATGGACTGCCACATTCAAGTTTTGACACGCATACAATGGGAATTAAAAATATGATATGACATCTGACCATATCTATTTTCTTTAGCTTTCCCTTCAGTTATATACTGTATATTTTCGTATTATATATTTAGTTTAATAGAAAATTAAAAAAAATATTGCGAGAGAATAAATGTTACCATGATTTGTTTTGTTTTAAATGATATTTTATTTCCTTCCTCATGAATTAGCATAACAAGAAATTCACATAACAAGAAATTATCACAAGTGATATAAAACAAGATTTTTGATACAAGACACTTTATGAATTACATCAATTAATGAACAACATAGAACAAAATCTCAGATTATACATGATTCTACATTGTGTCTTGCATGTAACAGTTTATAATCAAAATAACAGTAGAGGAAGGTTTAAAGTTACACAGTCACACCCTATCACACACTCTCCCACCAACAAACTCATGACACCCCCCCCCCCCCTCTAGCCCACCCACACCACACCCCCTTTCACACACCCACACATACACTGTTTCGCTGACGAAACTGATTTTCATTATGTTTTTTGATTCGCAGATACCGTTACGTAATTCAGTGGTCAACGTGTACGTATATGCTAATTAATGTAAAAACCGGCAGAGCACTATTGGGGTTTCATAGAGGTGACATCTTGCGATGTTCGCCTACTAATTTTTCGTGCAGAATGCCTCATTTCACAATGAGATAATTCGTATTTCAACAGTATATCCTGCCAAGAAGTGAGTACAGCTTGGTGTGAATGTGTTTTTAGAATGTTTTATGCAGACATGAAATTATGGATGTTTTCTTATTTGTTTGAAACGAAATGGAATTTCGCTCAGTGAAAGTGTACACGTGTAAAGTTGATAGTCTTGTGTGCGGAGCATTTGATATAAAGTAGATATTTGACATGTATTTGATACATTGCTAAGAATAAGCTGTATATAAATATTAAAGGGCATTATTTTCAGGGTTTATTGTAGCACTCTTGTATTTACAATTTACAGGGAAAAGGCTGATTTGGTGGTTTATTTATGGTCGTTTTGATAGACTTTCAATTAATCATTGGTCTGAATTAAGACTAGCTTTTGGTATTGCACACGGAGCTTGTTGTTGGCTTTTCAACTACACTAAGTCTTACAAAAGGGAATTTTAGGATATCTGTTATATTCTGGTGAAGCTATTTTATGACATTCGATGAAGTCATTTAAAGGGATTTCTGTATGGGTTTTAATATGAATATTAGTGACTTGAAAAGTGTGTCACATTTGTTATGAAGGTCAAGTGGAATTATTTGACCTTGTGGTGTCATTCATAAAACCTGAATGTTGAAGAGGGATATTTGTAGAAATGTTATGAAAGATATAAGATAGCAGATTTGCTTGTTCTGTTATAGAGGCGACATTTATACTTGAAACTGATATGAATGAGTCCAGTTGACTTATATACTTATGAATTCTTCAATTTGTTCTTTCAGATTGAATAAAATCAGACTACGGTCTTATATGATTCCAAGCGGGATATTCTGTGGCTGAGTCATCTTTCTTACGAGCAATCCAACAATTCAATTTCCTACTGCTAACCTGGGATACGATAGGAAAGATGACGTCGACTGATGAAAGTAACCTGAAGTTCAAGCGAAGGGGTGCCAAGTCCAGATTCACGAGATTCGGCAAGGCTACAGAGCAACTGATAGATGGCGGCCGAAGTAGGGCGGAGGCACAGAAATCCTTCGAGAAGTATGAGCAGGCATACCATGAAGTGGAAGATGCTCATGACAAGTTTACTATGACCATCAAAGACGAAGCAGAGTATGATAGAGAGGACGTCTGGATGGAAGATGTTCAGAATGATTTCTCGAAGTTACAGTGCAAGTTCATTGACTACGTCAAGGTTGATGAAAGTGCTTCGTCAAGTCCTACAGGGGAAGACACCACGGTCAGTGTTCTTCCTGGTCATCAAGGATTTGCTCAGGAAAGCATGAGCCACTTCAAGATCGAAAGACCAAGGCTCCCAAAGTTCAGTGGAGACATCCGTGAGTACTGCATCTTTAAGTCAGATTTTGAACATGTCATAGGTAGCAGATGTAGCTCCAGAGATGCTATGATGATTCTTCGTTCATGCCTTCAGGGCAAACCACTGCAACTTATCCAAGGTATTGGACAGGACTACGCGGCTGCCTGGGAGCAACTAGATACCATTTATGGGGATTCTAGATATGTGGCGGACACCATCATCAGCGACATATCTAAGTTTAGGCCACTGAAAGAGGGTGAAGATGCCAGGTTCTGCGACCTGGTCCATCTGGTAAGGAGAAGCTTCAACACCCTGAACGAGATCGGGAAGCAGAACGACATGAACAACAGTCACATGCTGGCCATAATAGAGAGAAAGATGTGTCCAGATGATCGGAGGTTATGGTTCCGAGACCAAGATGGCAGTTCGGAGACGACTCTTCATTCTCTAATGAACTGGATGGCGAAGGAGATGCGAGCTCGCATGAGGTCATCAGCTCCTCTTCGTAGTGAAGCCAAGTCCAGCATAGTGAACATGGTCTCCACGGCAGAGGAGAAACCATCCATGAACCAGTCCACAAAGGAGTTTAAGTGCTGGGTCTGCAAAAGTTATACTGGACATTGGACAGATCAGTGTAGGGATTTCATCTCCAAATCGGCACCTGAACGATGGGAGATGGTAAAGAGCAGTCGTGCCTGCTACAGCTGTTTGAAGAAAGCTGGACGAGACCACGTGATGAGTAACTGCAACAGGCGACGCCGTTGTAGTGAATCCAGGAACGGAGTGCAGTGCACATGGTATCATCATCCGTTACTTCATACTGAAAGGAGCATAGTTGAGGAAGGAGGATTGGTGAAACAAGTGGGAGTAGCTACGGTCATTGCAAATGAATGTCTCCTTCCCGTGACGATAGTGGATGTGATATCTAAACGAACTATGCAGCAAGGAAATCTGCTATTGGATTCTGGTGCTGAGATAAGCCTTATTCGTAAAGGTTTTGCAGAGAGGCTCAAGCTTAAGGGAACGCCAATAACCATAACAATGGTCAAGATTGGACGAGATGAGGAGGTTCTCCAAACTCTCAAGTATCGGATACCCATCAGAGAAGCAGGGAAAAGCACCATGCCTATTATGATTGACGCTATAGGCATACACTGCATAAGTGGGGACATTACAGCAGTAGACTTGGGCCTTCTATCGAAGAAGTTTGGACTGAAGGAGCAAGAGTTGAAGCGAGGTACTGGAGCAGTCGACCTCCTAGTGGGCATAGATCATGCCAGACTCCATGGCGGAGAAGTTAGAGAGGTTGGACATTTAGCAGCTCGCAGATCTCCAGTAGGATGGGTGGTGTTTGGGAAAGGACCCACTGACCGTGTCAGCTCCAGTTCAGTACTTCACATAAAGATCTCAAGTCAGGTGGATCTTTTACCAGATAACAAGATCTTGGTGACTACAGAAAAGAGACCGGAAAGAAATGAGAAGTATGCATCTGCATACAAAGAGCAGATGAGAGAAATGGAAGACCTGAAATTCTCCAGAAAGCTGTCGGAGGATGAGAAGGATGAGAAGGATGAGAAGGATTTGCAAGAGTATTCTGAGGTTAAACCAGAATGGAGCCTCAGCAAGAGAAAGATCTTGAAGCAGATAGCACAAGTATTTGACTCACTCAGCTTTGCAGCAGCCTTCCTGATCCGTGCCAAGATTGGGATACAGAGCCTTTTGGGAAAGGGCTATGACTGGGATGAGATGCTGCCAGAAGCAGACCAGAAGTGGTGGATAGCCTTTTTCAAGGAGATGAAGGAGTTAGATGAGGTTAAGTTTGAAAGAAGCCTCACACCATCAACAATGATTATCAATCATCCAATGCTGTGTAGATTTGCAGATGCATCCCAGAATGCTTTCGGAGCATGCGTCTATCTGAGGTGGCAGCTTGAGAACGGTGATTATGATGTCAGATTTGCAGATGTATCCCAGAATGCTTTCGGAGCATGCATCTATCTGAGGTGGCCGCTTGATAACGGTAATGATGTAATGGCCAAGTCCAGAGTGGCCCCATTAAAGAAGATGACCATACCCAGATTGGAACTACAAGCAGCAGTTATGGCTACACGACTCTTCACTACTGTCATGAAGGAGCTGAGACTGCAAGTTGAACAGGTGATGTTCATGACAGATAGCAGGATTGTTCTACCGTGGGTACGGAGGAAGAGAAAACGCTTTAAGACGTTTGTAGCAGTAAGGATAGCAGAGGTTCAAAGTCAGTCTGATCCTGCCCAGTGGAGATATGTTCCAGGTAATCAGTACCCTGCCGATGATGTGTCAAGAGGTCTTCCAGCAGCAAAGTTAGGACACAGATGGCAGCAAGGCTCAGAGTTCCTGTACTCTACAGAAAGTGAGTGGCCTCAGGATAGACACGGCAGAGTTGCAGCCACAACTGGGAAAGTGAGAAAGCAGTGTTGTATCTTGCAGGGACACAGACTTTTTAGAAGTAGCCAACCTGGTTAATCAACGTCCTATTGGTAGGATTCCTAACGACACTGATGAAGGAAGCTACTTGTGTCCAAACGACATGCTACTAGGGAGAGCTTCGCGCCAAGTACCACAGGGTCCATTCAAAAGTTCAGGAAATCCAAGACATCGAGTTGAATATGTTCAACAAATCGTCGACTCCTTTTGGCAACGTTGGACGAGAGATGTTCTACCTCTACTGGTGCCAAGGAGAAGGTGGAATGCAGACCGTCGAAATGTTCGCGTCGATGACGTCGTAATGTTAGCAGATGCTAATGCAGTCCGCGGAAAGTGGCTTCTGGGTCGGGTAATACAAGTGTACCCTGGTCCAGATGGGAGAGTTCGAAATGTTAAAGTGAAAACCGCTTCGGGAGAATACCGTCGCCCGATCGGCAGAATCGCTATTATATACCCTGCAGAAGGATATGAAGACGAGTGAGGGTTTTTTTGTGTGCATTAATACAGAGGATAGCGGAAATTGATAGAAATGCATTTTGCATTCCAGTGAAGAGTTTAATTTGTGCAACACAGTTAAAAGCATAATTGATGGAAATTTCTTTTGAAATGAAGGTTATTTTTGATATGATAAGAAGCATATAGCAATTTTACACAGTTTCAGCAGCTTTACTCGCGACCTACTCTACTCGCGACCAGCTATATTCGCGACCAGCTATATTCGTGACCAGCTCAACTCGCGTTCAGATGTATTCGTGACCAGTTCTACTCACGATCGGTTCTACTCGTCTCGTGATCAAATTTATTCGCGACCATTTTAGCCGCGACAGGTTTTTCTTCTCGCGATCGGTTTTTTATCAACCAGTGTTGTTGTTTGTAAAGAATTACAAGATGTTTTTTTTTGTAAATCGCTAGCATCATATGACTGAAGTTGACTTTAAAACAGTTTACCAGTGAATTTTTGCAACAATGACATTTATTGTAAACGTTTTTTCAGATAGTTGATTCAAAAGTTTATACATGTAATTGATATTACCTTCTGGCATTTTGATACAGATATTGATATATTGATTTATGTATTGAGGCAAGGCCTCATAGGCGGGGGGAGGATGTTTCGCTGACGAAACTGATTTTCATTATGTTTTTTGATTCGCAGATACCGTTACGTAATTCAGTGGTCAACGTGTACGTATATGCTAATTAATGTAAAAACCGGCAGAGCACTATTGGGGTTTCATAGAGGTGACATCTTGCGATGTTCGCCTACTAATTTTTCGTGCAGAATGCCTCATTTCACAATGAGATAATTCGTATTTCAACAGTATATCCTGCCAAGAAGTGAGTACAGCTTGGTGTGAATGTGTTTTTAGAATGTTTTATGCAGACATGAAATTATGGATGTTTTCTTATTTGTTTGAAACGAAATGGAATTTCGCTCAGTGAAAGTGTACACGTGTAAAGTTGATAGTCTTGTGTGCGGAGCATTTGATATAAAGTAGATATTTGACATGTATTTGATACATTGCTAAGAATAAGCTGTATATAAATATTAAAGGGCATTATTTTCAGGGTTTATTGTAGCACTCTTGTATTTACAATTTACAGGGAAAAGGCTGATTTGGTGGTTTATTTATGGTCGTTTTGATAGACTTTCAATTAATCATTGGTCTGAATTAAGACTAGCTTTTGGTATTGCACACGGAGCTTGTTGTTGGCTTTTCAACTACACTAAGTCTTACAAAAGGGAATTTTAGGATATCTGTTATATTCTGGTGAAGCTATTTTATGACATTCGATGAAGTCATTTAAAGGGATTTCTGTATGGGTTTTAATATGAATATTAGTGACTTGAAAAGTGTGTCACATTTGTTATGAAGGTCAAGTGGAATTATTTGACCTTGTGGTGTCATTCATAAAACCTGAATGTTGAAGAGGGATATTTGTAGAAATGTTATGAAAGATATAAGATAGCAGATTTGCTTGTTCTGTTATAGAGGCGACATTTATACTTGAAACTGATATGAATGAGTCCAGTTGACTTATATACTTATGAATTCTTCAATTTGTTCTTTCAGATTGAATAAAATCAGACTACGGTCTTATATGATTCCAAGCGGGATATTCTGTGGCTGAGTCATCTTTCTTACGAGCAATCCATACACACTGCATGCAACCTGTTCCGGAGATTTCCTTCCTCATAAAATTCTTTCCTCATAGAATAACAAACTAGAATTACCCCACCTACGGCGATGGCTATATGCTCCAATCGTTCGCGTGCACTGATCTTAAGAGTTCATCGTCCGTGCACGGGTTAAATGTGAAAGACATTCTCTCTCCAAAATTTCAGTCAGAAATAAACACGTTTCTATCACCAGGGGCGGAGTCAGAACACTTATTAGTATTTTACCAAGGTTGACAAAGTATCCCCAAACCTATGGATTTAATTTGTTTTAAAGGATGGATTTGGCAAAACAATCTATAGATTTGGTAACAAGAACTGGACATGGCAAAATATATATTTGATTTTTTTTTTGCTTTAGTGTGGACAGTGGCCTAGCCAAAGGATAGGGCAAGAGGAGCACAAAAAACCCACAGCCAATGGAAACATAGAGGCAAGGTGAACAGCATCCAATTTCCACTTTCACTGGAAGGCTTTGTTCATTCGCCTAGTACGAACGGTGCAGAAAATGACACCAACAGCCCCTTCTCAATACCATTGGGAGGGGAAAGATGGGGGGGGGGGCATTCCTGGACCCCCCCCCCCCCACCACCACCACCACCACCAGTTCAGTACATTGAGAGGTACGAATCATCTCACAAGTAAAATGGCAATAGAAAATAAACATTTCGAGAGAATATAGAAACCCAAGTGGTCTGCAAATAATGTGCAACCGCGACATTTTATCATGAAGCAAATTGACAACCATGGTACAAAGACATTTACAATCGCACTTTGCGCCAGTTTGTCTGTACTTGCGATGATGTTTAACATAAATGAAATGATTTATTTGCAGAAGGTTATTTGAATTTGGCTTATCTATGACTATTTGCGAGGGAGTAGATTCCTGCGCGATATCAAATGTTGAACGACTGTCGAGCCGCCTGTAAGTCATAGTCGTTTCTATTCACTTTAAGTCTCCAAAAGGTAACTGTGAGTTGGGTTTTCTGTATAGCATTTTCTTTTTCAATTTTGATAGCGTATAATACTATTCATTAAATGTTTTTGTCACATAAATTGCGTGAGAATATTTCAAATAGTTTTAATAATGTAATTACGCGTTCCCCCCTTAGATGATTTATTACATTCAATTACAATGCAACGAATCTGTAGTAATAATCAAATTCAATTTAGAATTTTGATTGTGATACTCGAAAGTCAAAGGTTGGTGCCATCAAACTCTTTGAAATATTAGTGTAATTATATTCCATGAATCGTTTTGTCAGATGACTGAAACATAACTGAACGCTTGAAAGACTTAAACCATTATTTTGGTTCGTAATTGATAATCAATTCATAGAATTATGATGGAATAGCTTTCGGTAGTGTAGAACTGTTTATCTGTAATGGGAGCAAAGCACTTTTGATGTTCATGAAAATATGAACGTGGTCATCGATATCATAAACTAAAAAAAATTGCATTATTAAACGAAATGATATTGCCAATCCATCGGTACAATTAGTCGTCCCGTCGTAATCAAATGACAATTCTTGTTTCAAATCAGAACGCCCTCTGAAAAATTGTATAAATCGCACGCTGAATGTGTGCATGCTACTAAAAATGCGATCTAATATCTAAATAAATCGATGCACTACACATTTAATCTCATACTATCACAATTTTGAGTTAGTAAAGCTATTGTGTCTCCCCGCGGACTTTAGATCGAGAGATAGTAAGTGAATGTTATTGAAAATGTCAACGAACTCTCTCCCGCACTCTTCTTCTGTTATGTTTGATGTGTCTGCCAAACATGTTTTCATGGCATGTGTTTGTAAAGACAAGGCATATTGTCTATTATGGTGGCTGTAATTAATTGAGGAATCATGGTCATTAGTTCATGAGAAAAAACCCATTCCGCCTAATGTATAGCATCATAAACGCAGGATAGTGATATTGTTCACAATATGTGCAGGTGTAGTGGTACAGTGGTTAATTCAATTGACTCTACATCCAAGGGTTGAGGGTTCGAAACTTACTATGGTAAGACATTAATACACATTTTCCACTCTCCACCCAGGTATAAATTATTACGTTACATTCGCTGAGGGCAAAAATAATTGCGGGTCCCTCAGGAAGAAAAGTTATAGTCTTATTTTAAAAGATATATGTTTAATTTGATATTTCACATGTATGTACAATGTCTAATGGTTGTATTATTATAAGTATGTTTTCATGTATTATACAGGGTTTCTTGAAAAGCAGATCAACTGGCTTCCAGTGGAACTGAATGAAACTATCCTGTTGAAGTAAATCATGAATTAAAAAAAAATAAAAAAATAAGGCACCACAATTATTAGATATATGTATATATACGTATACAGTGCGTCCCAGAAAAAAAAAAACCGAGAATTATCGATGTTTTATCATAACTTAATCAATCACAATTGTAATTCATAAATGACACATATTTGTAAAGCTTAGATCCTCCTATTTCATGTGATGCAACTCATATGATGCATACTAAACACATTAATGATTAAAAACAATTTCAAGAGAGGTAAACCCAAAAGTCATTTTTAGGGCGGTATCTGAATTTCAAGGAGAAAATCAAATTTTTAGAAAGTTTAATTACTACCCTTTCATATGACACCTCAATCAGGAAAAACAAAGATCCGTTTGTTTAAAGTAATGCTTGCATTTCCATAATTTGATTAAACAAGTTCATTTTCACTGGCTGCCTGACGTAGCAACCAACAGAGTTGACAAAAGACTTAACTCCATTTCGTTGACGATCAGCCATGCATCAACTATTTCGTCTTCTCTGAATCCCAGTCCGGCACCAACGCCCTTTGGCAATACGTTAATTCACATTTGCCACTCAATCTCAGGAGAAGAATAATACTAATTGCAGGGCACTTAGGAAGAGAAGTATTACAATGCGGAGATGTCCCAACCCACCCCTTATTGAAGTCGTAATGCAAGATCATTTAAAGGTAAAGACCAGTTATGGAAACGCCCCATTTAAAAAAAAATGAAATGGAAGCTCTTATTACCCATCATGTTAAAAAATATGTTCTGACTAATACATTATGATAAACAAAATTGCCGGGAAACCGCCTACTATTTGATATATTTGGTAAATTAGTTTATCTATTGGCCAGTAAGAGATAAACGCACGTGTCGCGCACGTGTGAGTGGTCCCATATACATCTTTATGTGTACAGTGCTTGTAACTTTACGAAGAGTGGGCCAAATTTCTTATCATTTTTAAGATTCCAGAACCTTGTAGTACACACCAATACTTGTATGCTAGATGATCAACGTTTTCTGATCGATTCCACAACGTTTCTTTCACGATGCAATCGCATGACCATAACTGGTCTTTATCTTTAAGAGGAAATATAACTATGAGCTCAATTATAAAATCATGTGTGTATAATATTTGATATATGAATTGTTGAAGTAACACTCTATGATTATTTTTCAATCGTTCATTTCATTTATTTTATTATTTTAATAAAGTACAATTCAAACATTACATACACATATAGAAATATATAGAAATTTAGAAATATGAGAGAAGAAAAGATAAAAGGAGAATAAAAGGAAAATAGGCAAATGGAATTTACACACAATGGATTTAAGTGGGATGGTAGCAAAATAACCGCTGTCGAGGAACCTGGTGTTAAATGGGTACCCGTTTGGAATTGCATACACTGTGTGCGGGCAGGCAAGCCTAAATGCGATGACCGGGGTCATATTTATATATCTGCAACGCGCTAGACATCGTTAATGTATTAAACGCTATATAAAATCAGAATATTATTATTATTATAAAAGAACTATGAAAATGGGGTTAAAGTGGTGCGGTTTCTTTCATTACATTGGAATTTTTGTTATCCTCCAAATGGAGACAATTTGAGAGGTCAGAGAAGGTCATTTTTAGTCAGAATGTTTTTATTCAGAGTTTACTCTTATAAATGTTTGTATTCGCTGCTCACAGATGTTACATAATGATATTCACATATTTATTCCACTTTAATTTTCTGACAAAATAATGAAAGTATTTTATGCAAAATAAAATCATCTAAATAGAAAGTCTATGGAGGCAAGCTATCTTATGGTGTTATTATTGTTAAATTCATCCATGAACCTTGTATTAAATGTTACCACAGATTAATTATCTGGGGTCATAAGTTCAATGCTCCTAGAGGTATTTTTATAAGGAAGGGCAGCACGCCCACTGTTTTTAGTCCAATGTACGGTGAGTCAATGGGTACACGAACGGTATCAACTTTGGCGCCGTTTCAATGGCCCGGGGGCGTCTTATTTTTTCGTACCACGGCGAGCCCGGATTCCTGTTTTATCATGAATATTCATTAGGCAGGGCCGGGGAAAGTCTCGATTCTCTTGAATATTCATGTATGATCGAGGCATGCGCAGCATCGAATATCGTGTGTAACAAGTACGTTGGATTAATGGCAGGCCTATAATATGACATAGAAAAGCAATGTCATGGTCATTTAGATAATACAGTCATAAATGCTGTGTTTAATTACTAGTAAATGCCAAAATGTCAGTACCGGTAGACAAGATATATAGCATATATTTCAAGGAAGAGTCTTGATAGGCAATTTGTGAGTAGCCTAGGCCTACTTTTCTGAGATTAATGGGAGTCTAGTTCTTTTCATGAATTGGTAAATAATCAGTTCTAGAGGTCTAGGTTTGCTTTTTAAATATTACAAGCAGAGGTTCCATTATGGTATTGAATAATGAATATGTGATACAGTATTATAAACTGTATAAAATAGATAACAAGAATAGGCCTACATACAGACATTTATCAAAAATAAAATACTTGTGTATTGCACTTAAATTATTTCTATGATCTATGCTCACTTAACTGCATAAGGAAGAAAAGGAAGAAAGAAAAATGGGATTAGAAAGAAGAATAACAAAG